TGCCTGTGGACTGAAGGGTCCCGGGTTCGATTCCAGTCAGGGGCACATGCCCGGGTTGCAGGCTCAATCCCCAGTTCGGGGCGTGCAGGAGGCAGCCAATCAAGGATTCTCTCTCATTGATGTTTCTCTCTCCCTCTCCCTTCCTCTCTGAAATCAATAAAAATATATCAAAAAATAATAATAAAATTAAATGTTCACCAGCTGGCCCTCGAAGGAAAAGGCTCGTGCAGTCTATGCATTGCGCTCGGTTATAGATGAGGAAACTGGGGCTCAGAGGAGAGGCTGGAACTGGCCCGACAGCATCCCAGTCCCTCAACAGGGGAATTGGGACGAGAACTCTGGTCTCGACCATCTATTTTTCCTGCCGCCTTGCAGGACTCGGTGCAAAATGAAAATGTGGGGCCCTGTCCAGGAATTACTATTTTCCCCCAAGAAAGTCATTCTATTCTCATGAAATACAATAAAACGGTTTAAGCGATGCTATTCTGTTATGGCAGCCTGAGCTAAATCATCCACCCTGCCAGACTCCTTCATTGACGGTGATTTTTTTTAAAAACATTTTAAGTAGGAATTTCTTTCTTTCTTTTAATCTTTATTGTTGAAAGTATTACATATGTCCCCCTTCCTCCCCCATGGACCCCTTCCAGCTCGCCCCCTGCCCCAGGCCCTCATCACCCTATTGTCTGCATCCATGGGTTATGCATGTATGCTTTCAAGGTTTTGTCAAAGAATTATCGACCATTTCAGGATGGCACGAGCAGAGAGCCTTTCTCAGTGTGGAGCTCTCTGTGCCTGCAGCCGGGCCCTGCCTGCCACCAGATACCACTCTGGGCTGAGGAGGGGCAGTTGTCACCTACCCGGTCCTCTCTCTGCCTCCCCAGGGGCTGTCCCCCGGCCCAGCTCCTCTGCCGTAGCCTCGGCCGCAGAGGTCAGACCCCAGCGGTCTGCCGGCCCTTCCTGGGGGATGGCCTTGGACTTGCTGGCTTGGGGACCTGCTGACCACCCTGCCTCTTCTCTCTCCCCAGACCCACAGCCAGGACATTGAGAAGCTAAAGAACCAGTACCGAACCCTGGCTCGGGACAGCGCCCAGGCCAGGCGCAAGTACCAGGAGGCCAGCAAAGGTGCGTGGCTTCCCTCGGACCCGTCCACAGGTGCCGGGGAGAGGCGGGGGAGCTCCCCAGGCCTCGGTGCCGTCACCCACACCCCCTCCCCTTAACCTCGCAGACAAGGACCGTGACAAGGCCAAGGACAAGTACGTGCGCAGCCTGTGGAAGCTCTTCGCCCATCACAACCGCTACGTGCTTGGCGTGCGGGCCGCGCAGCTGCACCACCAGCACCACCACCAGCTCATGCTGCCCAGCCTGCTCCAGTCGCTGCAGGACC